TTTGTTCACATGGCATTTTTACATAGATTTCTAAGTGTAGAACTTTTATATTAACATTGCATTATGGCTGTTTATGTGCCTATTTCTTCTCCCTTGCCCTGGTTCTAGGATTCTCAAACCTAGAGATTATGCCTTAGTCTGACTGGACTTAATTTCAATATAAAATGTATTGCCATATAAATACTTAAGTTTTGTTCTTAACCTTTTATTAATAAGAGATGTTAATATATGAATATAGAAATAAAGCTCAAAAATAAGCATTAGTTAACATTTTGGCCCGAAAGACTTGAATATACTTGAATCTCAAAACTCCCCACTTAAGAAATTCCTTGTGATATGAGACAAGAATAGTTGTAATTCTTGCCAAATCCCCCAAAACTATGCAAAAAAGATTTTCTCCTAAGAAATTTAAATGATTCCTTTAAATGCAAGTTTTGTCCAAGGTGGTCTAAATTTTTCACTTAGTAGTCTTGTGTTGATCTTTAAAATAAATTATATTCAGAATGTGGCCTGTACTAATTTCAAAATTAGTTATTTGTGAACAGTGGCATTCTTCTTAAATTTGCTTAGTCCATTGCATCATATTAGACATATCACATTTAAAATGACATTACAAAGTATGTTCTAATGAGTTTTGGTCCCATAAAAGAACTTTCAAAAGATTCCAGGATCAAATAAGTTTTAGAAATGATACAAAATGATATTCAGTGCTCCAATTGGAGATTAATCACAATAATTTCTAGAAAGTCCTGCTGTTAAAAAAAAAAAAAAAAAGAGGATTTTTTTCCCCCTTCCCAAGTCTCTCAAATTTACGAACTATGAAATCTCAGAAATGTCCATTAACATCTCTAAGAACTTGGGTGATTTATTGTATAGATCAGCAATATTTATAGCGGGGTTCACAAAACCTTCAAGATATCTGAAGAGGGGAATGGAGGTAAGCAAGGTTAAGGGTAATCAATTTCCAGATCCTAAACTTCCATGTTTATTTGGTCTTTGCTGACACTGAATTCCCTGATAAAATGGGCCTGTGCATAAACCCACATGCTTAATCTTATTTCTCATCTCCCCTTTCACAATCATCAAAGATGTTAGCAAGGAAAGGTTTCTTTCTAATCCTATGTAGAAATTTTTCTATGATGAAATGCTCCAGGGGGTAAAAATCTATTAGGAGCCAAATAGACCAAAGTGAACATTATAACTCTAGTACTACAAACGAAGAGCCAGGTTCTATTCTAAATTTATAAACATTTCTTGCAACAAAGAAGAGTAATTAAAATATCAAGCAAGAAACCATTACATTAAAGTTGAAATGGAAAAAGATCTGGGAAGAAAAAGAATAATATAAAATTTCTGATTTAAAAAAGCTTAATTTTTTAAATTAATGGTAGCTATTATGTTGAATATTTTTGACAATGTTTTTAAATATGCTAAAAATTATATCCTTATAATTACTTAAGCTCATGATAAAAATTTTATGTCAGTTTAGAAATATTTAAAATGATAGTTTTTCAAAATTTCTTTAGGAGTATGCAATAGAAAATTTGAGGACCATTGTTGGGCACAGTGGCCCATGCCTATAATCCCAGCAACTCAGAGGCTAAGGCAGGAGGATTGCAAGTTCAATGCCATCCTGAGCAACTTAGCAAGATGCTGTCTCAAAAACTTAAAAAAGGTGGGGGGGCTAGAAGTATAGCTCAGTGATAGACTGTCCCCGAGTTCAATCCCCAGTACCACAAAGAACAAACTTTTAAAAAAAGGACTATTGGTGTATCTTCTCAAAAGTTCAGGATACTTTCATGATTTAGACTAATACCAAAAAAAAAAAAAAAAAAAAAATTACTGGAAATTTTTAAGCTTTCCAGATGTATATGATTGATTTTGAAGTAGTTATCCTTCTTAGACATGTCTTCCAGATCTCCTAAAACAGCAAAATATTTCATGACAAACATTTGGTTTTCCTTCAAGTTTTTCTGAAGGTTTTAGACACCCAGCTTAGTTAGCTAGATAGGTTGGCATAACTTTTGCAATGCATGAGCCATCAGAACTATTATCTCTAGGAGAAATAACAAACTTTTAAAGTTTGGGAGGAAAGAAAGAAGGTGATGAGTTAACCCTGCTTTTTTTGTAAGCATTAATGTAAGAACAGTTTTACTTCTGCAATTTAATATGTTTTTTTTTTCTTAGAAGGGGCCTTGACAATCTGCATCATTTTTTACTTTGCCATGGCATAGTTTTCCATTCTACAGATATTTCATAATTTATTTAACCTTTGACCTAATAGTGAACATGTAGGTTCATCTGTTGCTCAACATTTTGCTATTCAATGTAATGCTTTAATGAACATGCTTATTATCTTTATACACTTGTGTTATTGTTTTTTTTTGGGGGGGGGGCTGATTACTAGGAGTAGAAAGTTTGGGTCAGAAAATTTGTTTACTTTTAGTAGATACACAAAATATCCCTCTAAAAATATTGCTATTACAGAATTCTCTCTCCCCATACTTTCTCTTGATGTGTGGATACTGTCAGACTTTTTACTTTTTGCAGTTTCACAACACAACACATGCCTATAGTCCAACCCACAAAAACAGTCTTTGCTTAAGAGTCACCTTAATGAGACCATTAATTTTCCTATTGAAATAACCTCCTCCACTATATCTGAATCCCTTTAAAATATTTTGTTTTTCAATAGCAGTTACAGTTACATAGTATTCTTTTGTTTCTCTTACCTTACTCCAAGCTGTAAGTTCCAAAAGAGCAAAAGCTTTTGCTTTTTTGTTTTGTTCACTGATTAACAAAACATGTGCCTGGCACATGGTAGGCACTCATTTATTGAATTGAATGACCATTGTAGTTGTATGATACACATAATTTCAGCCATCACTGTGATATTTCTCTTTGATCATGTGTCCCTGGTTTTATATACATCTCACATAACCACTCCTCTCTGAGGAGCAGCCACAATTCCTTCAAACATACTATACCAGAGAAAACACCTATGTTTGGCCAATAGCAGACCACCTGGGAGAAGGAAATAAATGCCTTTTCCTATTCTGGACTCCAAGAGCAGTTAATTATCAAAATAGTACAGCTAGCCATCCAACTACCATCTTGCTTATTTTAGCCCTTCCCATCCTGCTTCTCTCCTGCCAATGCCTAAGGGGGTCTAGGGTAAAGATTCATCCCTAGTAGAAACCACTTAGGCAAGTGATGGCACTGGATCTTCCCCACACCAGTCCCAACCCACTCCCTGCCAGTCCTTTGGCCCACACCCTTTCCATTAACAATGGCATCTTAGTCAAACCAAGCACTGAGGTTTGGTAGAGCACCAAGTTTCATTGTTTTTTCTTCAGGCCAGATTTTAGATGTGAAAGAGGCATAGAAAACAGGGTAATTTAATTATGAGTTGGAGTTGCTCACTACATAAAACAATTAAGATTTTAAGTATTTTTTTTTTTACCATTTTAGTATTTTGGTGACAAATATAAAAACATTTAGCTGGTATTTACTTCACCTTTATAAATATCTGTAATATATCCTTTTTAGTGGCAGATCATGTCAGATTTGTACTAAATAAGGGCCTAATATTTTCATTGTGATATCTTTACTGAAAAGTTTTGGTGTTGTTTTTGATAGCTGTATTCAAAGCTGATCAGGAGTCTTCAGTGTTATTAACTTTCAGCCTAACATGGACAAAAAAAGGTAGTGACCATTAGGTAATACTGAAAGGCCTAAGTAATAAGAAAATTAATATAGAATTGTACATCCTAAGGAAATTGCATACTTACCTCATAAAATGAGTTGGTTTATTCCAGGCTTAGGCCCATTTCCCACTTCATCTTCTCTCCCCAACAATAGTATAAAGTTTGATGAAAAATTTCATGAAAGCAAATAGAGGCTCCTCAGGAACTTAAAGACATTTCAGAATAATTATTTGAACAAGAGATGGGAAGAAACTTGGAGGATGGAGAGTAGGAAGCTTTTATTAGGCACGTCAAAGTAGTGGAGCAGGAATGACAAAAGACCAGAAGCAGTTCACTTGATTATAAGTTACAGTGGGTGGAAAAGACAGGCATCAAGCCAGCATCGCCACTTCATAAATAATAAATCTTTCTCCTGTAGTGATGATGTTATGAAAGATGTATGGTAAGATTGCATCAGTATGGTGAAACATCACTAAAAGGGTGGGACTGTCTGGAAAAGCATCTGTATTTGGAAAGGGATCTTTCTACAACTTGTCCAGAACACCTTGAATATAAGCTAGGATGTAACATTTGGAGCAAATGTTATTGGCCACACTTGGCATGTATGCTGGATATTCATAACTATATTCAGGCTGGTCCTTGAGTGCATGTAGTATGCCTATATTAGAAGAGTAAACTGAACACACTCACTTCTGTTTAGAAGCCAAATTACTGTGTTGCTCCCTTAAAAGATTGTACCTGTATATGCAGTAACATCCTTAGGATGCTTTTCATTTGTAGAAGGTTTAGAAGTAGAAACCAGCTGTTAACTACTAGGAAAAGTGGGAATGTTAGGAAATGTTCACCTACTACTTCCTTTCCTACCTACCTGCCTGATTCATGTATCTTTCCATTACTAGTAATGTTTTTTTGTATCTTTCTCCATTCAGGGAAAGACTATCATTAAATCAAGATGGCTGCATGTAAATGTCTTTTCCTCAGCTGTTTATTAATCATCTTAATCTAAAAAACAAAGCTCTACCAATATTTCCCTACCAAGGGAAAATTTCAAATATTCAGCCTTCCAGTTAACACCACCACTGACTAATAAAAACTGACAAGACCTAGACGCTTCTGTAAACTAACCTTGTTTGAATGAAAAGAACCACAGAAAATAGAGACATTATGCAAGGATAGGGAAGTCCACATTCTACAGAAATTGTGATTTTACTCTTTAAACTAAAATAGAAATGCCTCAAGTAATATACTGGAATATATTTTTGAATACTATTAATAATTGATTTCTCATTGAAGGAAAAAAACATACTGTATCCAACAATTCAAATATGGCCGAACTGAAGTCAATGTTCCGGGAAGTTCTTCCAAAACAAGGTATCTGCGTCAGTTACTTAGGTCATTATTATAGAGACCTAGAAAGTGATAGTCATTGTCACATAGCAGTGTTAATATTCTAAACACCTACCAATTATTGTGTTCTTTATATCTCATTTACTATCCCCTTTACTGTTGAGTAGGTTGTACAGGAATTCACTTTTCCCAGTAAAAGAAAAAAAAATGAAGCAGATTCTTCTTATACTTAGAAATATGAAATTTTTCAGTGGAAGTAATAACTTAATGGAATTCACATAAGTAAGGTCTGCAAGTGGGGGGAAAAAACCTAAATCAAGCAATAGTAAGAAAAGTTTAAGGCTGAAGTTAAAAATGCAGCAATTTGAATATTTAAATTAATATCATACTTTGGTACATTTTTGTTCATTGTGTATATTCTCCCAAATTGTATTTCAAATTAAACATCTGACACAAAAAGGTATGTTTTATGGTAACTTAGAACCTTGCATACAAAGTTCAAAACTTGTCTTCCTTCACACGCCAATATTAAGAAATGGTACTTATAGAATAGACTTATCTTTCTGGTTACAAGCAAAACACAGTCTAAGATTAGGGGTTTTTCAGTGACAGGTTTTTAGATCTTTATTCTAGCTGCTAATCCAAACCACCTAACACCTGGATTATCTTCCTCAAAATTAATTCTTATTTCTTGTTAAATTTAGGGCAGTTGTCTGTGGAAGATGTAACCACAATGGTGCTGTGTAAACCCAAACTCTTACCCTTAAAGTCTCTGACTCTGGAAAAACTGGAAAAAATGCAGCAAGCAGCACAAGATACAATTCACCAACAAGAAATGGCAGAAAAAGAACACAGCAGCAAATAACCCATTGATGAAAACTTATCATAGGGAACCACCCTACCTTGCCTACTTACCTACCACTTAATAACTAGAAAATATTTCTGTATCTGTATGCTGAAAGTGGTATTTAATAAAACTGGTAACATTCATGTTCATATAAATGAAAATAAAATCCCCAAGATTGATAAAACTTGTGAATTTAAATAGTGATTTCTATTGACCACAGTTAAAACTTTGAATTTTCTTTTACTTGTTTTTAGAATTGCAAATTGTTCTTCATTCCTACTGCTATCAGTTTTTTAATTATTGACACAAGTGACTGATTTTTAACTTTTATATACAAAAGATCTTTACATGTTTATTAAATACTGGAATTTGAAGATACCTTCTAATCTCAAAAGTATTTATTTGGGGCTTATACATTACCTAATTTAAAAATTTTTAACCAATTGTGTGTACCATATCATGTTTAATACTATCTTTCCTGACCAGAATGATCCTACCATAACCAAACTGGTTTCTTCACCTATTCTATAATCAGCTAGGCTTTTAATTATACTAATTTTAAGGACTAAAGAATTACATTACTACCTTTATCGTCCAGCTATCAAACCCAATTAAAAGCCTGAAATTGCTTATGATTATATAAGTCTGAGTAATACAGGCTTGAAAGACATGAGGTAAAAAGCTGTACCTAAAACTGTTAATATGTTGCTAAGAATAGTCTTTGTAAATTATTACTAAAAAAAATCCTTGGTTTGCTGCAGTCAATAGGCAGTTTAAATTATTTGTAGACATTGAGGCCTTGTTGAGCAATTACGCTCTGTGAAACAGAAATATGATCATTCTTTAGATAATTATTTATCGGCAGCTAGGTTTTTTTTTTCCCCCAAACCATCGGTAAATGTAAAGCTTTCAGTCATTGGAGAATAATTTTGTGTAAGCATACCATTTATTTTATATATATATATGTGTGTGTGTGTGTATATATATACACACACATATATATACATATATACACATATGTATATATATACACACATTAAATTTCAATAAGCTGTAGATAAGATCAATAAATTATGCATGCATTTTTCCCCATTATAATCTTAAAAGTATTGTACTTTTGACTTAAATATTTGCAAGTTAAAAAGTTTGTGAAGAATATAGCTTAAATTCCATAGCCCAAATGTACATCCTTGTATGGTTTGATATTTGCTGCATGAAATTAGAAAGGGTTTTATGTTTTTGTTTTGCTGTGCTGAGGATCAAACTCAGGGATAAGAAATTTAGAAAATTTTTTAAAGACCAAAAATAAATCTACTCCCAATAAAGAATCAACACTGCTTCACATGTTTTATTTTGTTGTACATTCTTGTAGAACCGGGATCGTTTTTTCCAGTTTTGTAGAAAAATAGATGTTCCAGCCACCATTTACTTAACTGTCTAGTCTTTAAGACCAATCAGTATGTTCCCTGGAAAGATGAATAAGTCTCATGACTAACTCATTTTTTTAAAAATTCTTTAAAACAAATAACTTTTTTTTTTTTTTTAACTCCCAAAGCACAGTATTTCAACAGCAGCAGCCAACATAGGGTTTTAGCAGCTTAACTTTGCCCCCTAAATAAAGCTTTGTATAAACCAGTGATTTTACTACAAAAAACACTGTCTTTGAAAGAAAGGAGTGAGTGGCAGTCAGACATCAATGCAAAACTTGGAATGATTAGGTCATAAACATGGCACTTACAAAAAGTAGCTTATTAGAATATTCCACGTAAGCGGACATTTTTCTGTCCCTCCTTTATCACCTCAAAAATTAAAAAAAAAAAAGAAAAAGAAAACACTTCCTTTAAAAATTCCCCTTAAATGTAAGTTTATAAAATTTCAGTAAAGAAATGCCTTGTACCCAAAACAAGTGCTTAAAAAAAAACTAATAACTCTTACAATTCAGATACATATTTTTTTATAACATCTAAGACTGCAAGAGTTCTTATATGTTCTTATATTCAGTAGCTCTCTGGTTTAAGGCGACCTCCATCTCCTTCGCTTACAAAACGCTTTCTGCCCCTGTAATGAAAAATAAAAATATGAAAGAGACAAACTGACTATATTTAATGAAAAAAATGGAAACTTTGAAGGGTTTTATTGTTAATGAAAAGGTCAACATGTCTTGTTTTGAAAGACTTTTTTTTCCCTGCTACACATCTTATCATAAAATAGCAAATGACAGCAAAACCTGAGTAGTTTTGTTTAAAAGCTTATTTATAATTTTTTTAAATATATTTATTCATTTATTTTTATGTGGTGCTGAGGATCAAACCTAGTGCCTCACACGTGTGAGGCAATGGCTCTACCCACTGAGCTACAGCCCCAGCCCTTAAAAGCTTATTTATTGAAATAAGTTTTATTATCTAACTGGAGTTATATTTTTAAAGTTAAAATAGAAAAATAAGACAAATATTTTATTTAGAACATTTATTTCTGTTACATTATAAAAGCTAAACTAAGCCAAATACGAAACACTAATAATGTAACTGAGAATTACACATACTAGAAATATGGAACTTACACACTATCCATTGTAACTTAAATTTTTTAAACTTTTTCTCAGCTATAGAAAACCCATAACCTGAATGTGGAAAAACCAATCAATCCAGTTAACTCTAGGTTATGCCCCGTTTTGGGATTCTTGGCATTTCAAACTCAAGAAGCCCTTCCCTATAATGTGACTACACTCCAGCTATAGGTAGTAGCAACAGTCCAAGAGGAACAACTAGCCAGCAACCTCAAGCAGTAAAGGGAAAAGAGATCCCATGAAAAATTAGCCTTTACTCTCGGATCCCAACTAACACACATAAACATGCAAGACCATTACAAATGTGCACTTAGCCCAAATAAGCAAAAGGATAGAAGATAAAAGTCAAAGTTGTTGGGAATACCCTGAAAATTTAGGTATCTCCTAAAATGACCCTCAAGAGTAAAGCCATAACAGAAATCAACATTTTCAAAGAAGCTGAAAAACTTAAAAAATAGTGGTATTGACCCCTTTTCACACTTAATTGTGGCTAAGTGGAAACCAGCCACATTTTATTGAACATAAAGGCTTTACACTATATACTATGAGATTTAGGTAGGGAAATAAAGAAGTAAACACCAAGAAATCTTGCCAAAGTTGAGTGATTTTACTGATGCCATTTGGCATGCCAGTACATTTATGAATGGTGCCATCATAAATGAAGGTCGACATTTCTAAACATTTCTGTCAAAGCCATTAAACTCAATCTTTTGCTGGGCACAGTGGTGCACACCTATAATTCCACTGGCTTAGGAGGCTGAGGCAAGAGGATCTTGAGTTCAAAGCCAGCCTCAGTAAAGGCGAGACACTAAGCCACACAGACCCCATCTCTGAATAAAACACAAAATAGGGCTGGGGATGTGGCTCAGTGGTCTAGTGCCCCAGAGTTCAATTCCTAGTGCCCCCAAAATAAATAAATAAATAAATAAATAAATAGATGGATAAATAAATGAACTGAATCTTTCACCATTTTTTTTCCTTCTCTCGTAATGGCTTCTAAATTTTCTAAAGCAAACGACCATAAAAGGAAATACTTTTTGAAATTCAGTTTTCACAATGCACTTCAAAGTTCAGAAATTTTTTCAGATTAAACAATTACAAAATATTATGTAAAATGCAAGCAAATTAGTCTATTACTAAATGTACCTATTATATCATAAGTGTCATTAACAAAAATCCCTAATTCAAGTTACATCTTATTAGAATTACCTCCAAAGAAAAATACCCCTACATACACACACGCACAGGTGCGTGCGCATGCGCGCACACATGCATGAATACCCACGAACATACTTTCTAACAATTAGCCTCAGTTCTTCATCCTATAATAAAGCAAAGGAAGCCACACAGTATGGAAAAGAGCCTAAATCTTTGGAGCCTGAAAATATCTGAAATCATATTTGTCCTCTACCATACACTAGTCATGTGACCTTAGAAAAGGTACAGTATACTTCCATAAGCCTCAATTTTCTCTCTTGTAGGTGATGATACCTACTCTGAAATAACATTTAACTACTTAAGAGTCTGGTACAACACAGAAGTGCTCCACAAAATTATTCTGCTTCAAACACTGGTGCTTCATGAAGTAGTCCTATACACACATACAGGGGGACAAAACAAGCTTTACCCTTGTTTCTCTAAAAACTCAAAACATGGTTCTTGCTCTTCAATCACTTCAGGGAAGATACTATTATTTTTCTGAAAGAGCTGTAATGACAGAAAACTCTTAGCTTAACCTTCCCAAGCACCTCATATAGGATTTTATATTGAGATAGTAGTATTTAAATAAAAGTACCTTGAAGGACAAAGATCTCTTAGTTGTTTGGAAATAATTCCTGCCTGAAAACATTCTTCTACAAATCTCTCAAGCACAGAGTATGAATGTGGGACATCCAGGTTAATGTCCGGAATTTCATTATAAATTCTTTCATAACCCTGAAACAATGAAATTATGTACAGAATTGTTAGTCCATATAAAACACATGTCATAAGACAGTAGAATGAATAGGACATTACTTTCCTATATACATATATGATTACACAACCAATGTAATTCTGCATTATGTTCAATCAGAAGAATGGAAAGTTATATTCCATGTGTATCATATATCAAAATACATTCTACTGTCATGTGTAAGTAATTTTTAAGAACAAATAAAAAATACATGTCATGAAACAATCCATCACTATGTCATCAATCTATATTTAAGGCCAAATGTTTATGCTGTAAAACAAGTCAGATTTGAATTTTGAAAAGTAAAGTACATTTCTTACAGAATATTTTCTTTAAAACTTTTCTCAAAAGAGCTGCAAATAAACAGATAAAATCCTTGTCTATTTATCTATATTTACTACCTTTTCAAAAACTCAAGGCAGATAAAAAAACATCAACCAAATTTCAATAACACAATTTTAAATAGGAAAAAAGTATAATTTGTTAAAAGTTCATGATTTTTTGGGCTGGGGATGTGGCTCAAGCCTGACATGTGTGCAGCCCGAGTTCGATCCTCAGCACCACATACAAACAAAGATGTTGTGTCTGCCGAAAACTAAAAAATAAATATTAAAATTCTCTCTCTTTCTCTTTAAAAAAAAATGTTGATGTTTTTCTCTAGATATGAAATAGAAATTGTCATATTTTAGAAACTGAACCCATGGGGGAGAAAACAGTCACATTTTTTCAAAACGGGCAAAAAAACACTGAAATGTTTCTTTCAAAATAATGTTCCAAGTGTTTCAGACCTCAAACACTACCATTTAAAAAAATTTTATAGGCATAACAACACTAAATGTGCCTAAAAGAAACTTTCATTGATGATTCATAGTCTTTATTCAGTATATATAAGGTATATGCCTAAAAATTTTTCAAAATATTATACTTACTCTTTTCATTTGGTCTACAGTGATGGTAGAAGACTTCCAAAGAGATTTTAATAAATCCAAAATCATCTTGAATGCACTTTCTCCGGTTGACTCTAAAACCATAACAATAGCCTAAAAATGGAATGAATAACTTTTTATTCATTAATTCATATATGAGAGCTCCCTTTAATATATGATCCTGATTTTATAATAATCTTAAAAATTTAAGAACCACTTTAATATTTTTATGATATGTTATTAAAAAAGTGTTTAGTCACTACAGTGCAAAAATAAATGTTTAAAAATTCTCTTTAACACAGCAAAGTAATCTTACTTCATATACAAGCTCATGGTGAAAATGAGGTACTTCCAGTTCCTTAAGGCAATGTTCAGCTTCAGATATGTCTCCAGAGAGTAAATACTCTTTCAGCAGCATATCAATCTATTGGATTTAAAAGTTGAATGTGTTAGAATTTCTGGCTTTTAAAAAGTTGTGTTACCTAAATTTATTTAAACCTTATCCCAATGTTATGAGACAAAAGAGCAAGTCACAAACAGCTCTCTAAAAACATACAGACTTGTGTACATGGTACTCTCATAAAGGAATTTTTTTCATAATTAAAAGATTTCCAACTTTTAAATGATTAATAAATATGAAGCAAATACAGTGTTTCAGTGTGTCAATCACTGAAATCTACAAGTAGGTCACTGAAATCTACAAGTAGATTGTGACCACAATGCCTCAGGGTTAAAAATAAAGGATTTTTAAATACCACTAGAGGGCACTAACTGAAAGTCTCTCTGAATTTTTAAACTGACAAAATAATTCATTTCTATCAGGATGATCTTAATAATGCAATGGGAGCCAAAAATAAGATAATAATGAGGCATTATTCAATAGAGCAAAGATCTCC